ATTTTGTTTATTATCTCCGGACCGGCCCGGTGACTATATGCATAAATTTATTATTTTTTATTATTTTTTCATTTTATTGGTCATTATCTTATTTCCTTTTGTCATTGGTTTTTCGTTGACAATCGTAGGCCTAAAATTTTTTTTCTGAAATTTACGTCCTTTTTTTACATATACTTACTTCCGAGTGTTCCGAATGCCGTATTTCGTTGTTACTTATGCAAAAAAAAAATTTTTTTTTAAGTTAAAATTCTGCCGAGGATACTTACCCTGTTCCATTCTATGTATATGCAATAACTTTATGTTAATCTTATGTTTATACGTATGTCAAGAATAACGATAACCTTAATAAAGTAATACGTAAAATACGTATAATAAAAGCAATATCTTTTAAGGATAATGACATAAATAACAAAGTTGTCATCGAGATCTATAAATAATCTTAAATTATATAGTTGCATATTGTCCAGTACTTTATGCTTGAAACGGAATTATGAAATTAGAATTTTGTTTCGAATTTGATTCTGCAATCTTAATCAAACTCTGTGTCCATAAAACATTAGTGGTAGCTACGTACGTACGTACTCATAATCAATCACAGAATAGATCCAAAGCTTTTGATAAATTGTTTAAAATTTAGGGACAAGCCCTAAAATATGGTTATCAATTTCATGATCAAGTACCCCTTTAAACGTGGGCATAGATTGGATCATAAAGTAAATTCAACTTCCTGTTTCGACTGATTTTTTACTTAACCAATATTATTGGTATTGAATATGTGGATTTCCTCTTATGCATAAAATTTGAACGTTTGGTCCAATCCTTCAATTCTTTAATGTCGCTGATCTAACTTGTCACTATTTTATTGGTCTAATTCCTACCTAGGACGTCTAAGAACTGATAACATTAACTTTTGGTTAGTGCGATTTTATCAAGTAAATCCTTGCCGTTTTTAGGCATTTACCATTTTAAGAATCGAGAATGGATTCATAATTTCGAAGGCGAAGAATGTCATGAATTATTTTTAAATCAATTAAAGGAACAATTGGTTGCATGCCTTAACGGTCCTATTAAATTGAAAGTTAACGACTACTCTCAAAGATTTTTCTATTTTGTAATGGAAATAATACATCTATGAATAGTTAAAGGGAATTTATAATTAGATGAATTAAATATCTATTGGTCCGATTAGATCAAAAGTCCGGTTTGAGAATTTTTCTTATATTGTAATGGAAATAGAATAAACTTATCAATGAATAACATCTATAAATAAGGTGTCTTGCTAAATTTCATTATAGCGAGGCAGACTTTTGCACTAAGTTCTATCACGAAAAAAAAGAATTAAATATTGTTCCCTACAATTTACGAAAAAATGTCTACTCACGATATTCAGATTGTAACAACTTCGCGACCACTCTTTCCACCACCAATTACTCCTGATGAACTTAAAGATTCTTATGTCACTTATGTTAACAGAAGACCACCAACAGCGTTCGTTATTTATAAAGCCGCTTATCGTAAGCAATTGATCGCTGATAATAACCTTCCACCTTTGCGCATGTTTTCACATATGGCAAGTCTCTCTTATAGTCGGGAACCCAGACATGTTAAGACTGCTTATGTCCATCTATCTGCTTCATTGCGTTCTATGCAATAAATTGTTTTCATAGAAGCGACATAAGAATACAGTACATCGAATTTTTTATGGTCTATGATTAAGTAACCTTTTTTATCACCCATATTTTCTTATAAAATTATTTATTTTATAATTTTATTTTTTAATACTAATATAAGAAATTGATGTTAAAGTAAGCTATTTTAATTGTATTTATCCTATGAGAAGTTAAGAACATTAGGCTTTAATAAATGATCTAAATGAAGTTAAACGAGGAAATGAGAATAGCGTGATAGTGTACTAGCATTAAGCCTCCGGTGTAAGGCATTGATTCCAGAAAGAATGTAAGCAACCGAAATATATTCAGATTTCATAATAAATTAGCATAATTATAATAATAATATATATAATCCTAACATTGACATTCTAATATTTAAGAAAGATGGCATAGCATTCAATTCGCGTGACTTAAGGTCACAGTAAGGTTTTTAAATTGCACATAAATACATTAAATTGTTTTCTTCTTCAGTCGTAACACGATAATGTTTAGTTTAAATAAGTTGAATGTTGCAGTGTGAAAATCTGTAACTGATCATAGTAAGTTATGAAGTACAGTTATAAGTTTTCACTCTGCAATACTCAAATGTAACTACATATGTTATGTTTCTGAATCAAATAAACTTCTCGTCAAAACTTTATTAACCATTTTATGTTTTCCATAGTTTGAATATTGTGCTTCATGTTCTTTTCTGCCGCAAATATTTCTCTTTAAGTTTTGCAAATAATCATATAATATACTAACATGATTCCGATATAATTCCAAAGAATTATATAATCGTCTCCATCTTTATACCGAACTGGCTGTTCTGGGTATTTTCATCATTAGAATTAGTTGTATAATGAACTCTATATTAACATTAGGGTGCGGAAAAAAAAAGCCGATCGATTTCGGAATTTTTAAAGGCTGTAAAAATAGTGTTCCACAATTGGTACCTAAGCCGAA